TTTTTAGATGTATTATCGCGTATAAAATGATTTGTGTTTTGTTTAATTATTAGTTTGCAAGTGCTCACATATATATCCTATTTAAATAATAAAGTTTTGTCACACATTTGACACTGTTGTCAAAGCCAAGCAGTTTGTAAGCTCTTAAATCCTTTTTAATTGTCTTCTGTACAGGTTTGTTATCGTATTATCCTGCCGACGTATATACATCGTTTAAGATACGATTCATGCGATAGTTAATCGTTGTGCGATATGTTATGTGTCTACATAATTTAAAAAAGTTAAATTGCAGTCACATATATTATATATATATATGTATTATATAGACGTTTTTAAAGTAGTAAATAATAATGTTAAGCAATTATTAAAATAATAAGAAATAGTTATGCTGCTGTGCCACTGGCATTAGCTTAATCGATATGCATTGCCTAACATCGATTGTGACACTGTCGCCCGGTCACGCACATCACTATTTATTTACCAATTTATAGAAATTCACAGAGGTATTTACTTTTTCTGGGCTTTGTAGCCTGTAAGCTTTATTTATTTGTTTACATATATATCATTATTATATCACAACTGTATTTGCTTGAAATTATTTACGATGGTTAAGTCCCATGATGGTCGCAATTCTTATGAATATATTCAAAACATCCATATAGATAGACATAGAGCTGAAATATAGAATGAAATGAATCTCGAGAATCACAGGAAACTAAAGGATTTATACTTACGCATTAATCGGATCGAAGGGTGCATATGCATACTCTGGATACACCTCAGCCCTGCGCACCAACAGCTGCGTATCGTAGAGCAGGAAGCCGCTGAAGAGAATCAGTCCGCCGTATAGCGACATCGAGGCCAAGCCTGGAAGAAAATCGAGCAGAAGGATTAGCATAAGCTTTATATCATATATACATATGTATAAAACTCAATTACTTACCAGCGCCTAGCATGGTCGTTGGCGGCAGCCACATTGATGCCAAGGATGAGGCGAAGACAAGGCCCAAGCCAATGGCCAATGGACCACCCATATACAAGAATTTATCATTCGGTGCACAAGTTGCGATCGTCGACAAGCCACCGGCAATGCCGCCCGTGTAGAGAGCTGCGCGCGTTAGTATCGGTCCACCGAGGAAACACAATGGGGCTATCATAGCACCCAATAGAGCGCAATGCACGGCCCAGGCCAAGTGCTTTGGCCCCAACCCCTTCTCATACTGAATGGAGCGTGTGACAGCTCCACTGCCAATGACCAAGGCAAACGAAGCTAGTGTCCACTACGGTAAACATATACATACATATAGATATCTGTGTGTGTATGAGTGGGTGTGTGTACGGTGTTTGACTTACCACAAAGCCACCGCGCGAGGCCAATGAGAGGAGACGAGGCGAGCGGAAGACTGCAGCAGCAGAGGCTGCAGTCAGCAAGCAGGAGCCACCAAAGAAAGCGTATGTCGATTGTATGCGCTCCTTCACATATTGCGGCCACATTCTACACATGAAGGGAGAGAGAGAAGTCGTAAGTTCGCAAAAGCTTAATTAATATGTAACAATGCACAGCTCTCTCAAAAGAGAAGAAACGGGACATTCGCATCACACATGCACAACTTTGAGAGAGCAGTGCGATTGCTCGAGCGGTAAAGAGAGAATGAGAGAGAATGATCATCTTGGCTTATAATTTGTGAAGTACCGTTGCTCGCTGAGAGCGCAATAGAATGAGAGCATGGGGGTGGGTGGGCTTTGTTCTGGATTGTGCTTTAATGATTTAGAGGAGGTCTAGATCTTTCTCGCTCTCTCTGTTTTGTAAGATGCACTATATTAGATCAGGTAATCATTGGAAATACCTCCAGCAGAGAAGCATACATATGTAGTACATGTATGTATGCATATGTATGTATATTTTAATGTACTTTAAGGAATGCCTACTCACATGGCGTTGTCCGCAATGCTTGTGTGCTTGCCCATGCCGACGCCGTAGTAGCAAAGGGCGCCCAGGCCGACAGCAGCGGCTCCCGCAGCTGCTCCCTTGCCCAATGAAAAGGCTGGAAGAAAACACAGTTTAGTTACGGCGATAATTGGTAGGCAAGCACTTACCATTGGCACTTGGTGGGCCCATTAGCTTCTCCTTGAGCGTCGGTTGACTGCGTACTGGAGCCCGCTCCACAATTACGGGATTGCGTGGGGGGCGCACTGGACCCCGAGCATAGTTGCGAACTAAACTAAGATTCAGTTTCGGGGATTTGGCCAGCAATTGGCAGCTCGATGGAGCTTTCGACAATGCAAGTCGCAGCAACATTTTCTTGTTGTGATGAAATTCGCAGTTGATTGTTAAAGTTGAATTCGCTTGTGCCAAAAATTAATTTACACACGTTTTTGCTGTTTTTCGATGAAACAAATTTAGTTAGCGAGCGTAACTGACGCAAAACTTCTATGTAATTTGAAATATTTCTAGAATTTCCTACTTACGAACAATTGTCACTTCGATAATTTACAATGTTGACTTGTTGCTATCGATATAAGCACGATGATCAGCTGTGTGTTACAATATATATCGTTTAAAATGTATACTCTAGTTGGCAACGCGATATTTTTAATTTCAAATTAATAATAATCGTCGTAAATAATATAATAAAATAAATAAAGTAATAAAATCGTCGTAGGTATTTAGGTTTTTATTCTTAATTTTTACCATATCTGCTTATTAGTGGCTGAAGTGTAAATAATAATGTGACATGTTTTGACTGGTCGTTGCAACAATCGATAGGCTAATCTTGGTGGAAGAGTATAACAGCACCGTTTTATAAAAAATGCCGCCATTGCAGTTGAATTCAAATTTAATTTAATGCAATTTCGTTATGCTCAAGATACGTAACAATACAATGCGACACAGATAATTTTTAACGACTAACTAAGGCCTAATTGATCACACTACAAATTCACACTATAAACATGTATATGCATATATACATAGATATGTATATATATAGATATATAACGCTTGCTCATACTGAATATTTTCGAACAGTTGGCTGAACGGTTGGCCTCTCTGGTAAATTGGGTGCTAGACGATCCTTGTTTATGATAATCACCTCGGTCAGATGCGATTTGCGCAAATTGCCAGCATGATCATACGTGTTCGTTTGCTCCAGCTCCCCCTCGGGATTCGATGTGAACGTTTTGCATTCGTATAGGGGACAACATTTCGGATAGACCGAATCGGTTTCAGTGGGCGGCAGCACATGACAGTCCCCCTTCAAGCCGACCGGCAAATTACAGCTGAAACGGTTAATAAAGAATGACAGTGAAAATGATGTACAGAATATCAGTGCATGTGATTGGTCAGCCAATCGCCACTCTCTCTGAGTCTCCTTCTCTCTATCGCTTACTCACGTATCCTCCCATATCCGAAGTGTGCCCAGACATTGCACTCGCACACATTGCCCCGGCCGTGTAAACACTTCTCCCACATACAGCTGCCTGCCTGTCAGCGTATCCCGGCAGTACTGTTGACTGTAACGGTAACTAGCTGCCAAAGGCACCAAAATGGAATGAGTGAAGAGCACAGCTATATACACGGATCATCCGTCCATACTTACATGGATACTGCGGCATTGCCCGGCTGCCGGCTACGAAGATGAATCCTATTAACAACAATTTAGCAGATTCCATTTTTTCTTCTCGATTATTTTTGTTTGCCTGATTCGTTTCGACGTTTGCAAAGTTTAGTGCGCAACTGATTCCAAGCAAATGTATTTAATCTCTATCAATGGTTCCTCCACATGGATTGTCTCTATCTTCATATGTATCTGTGTGTGTGTGTGTGTAATCACATTTACTCAGAGCATTTACGCGCTTTCTCTACTGGGAATTTAACAATATTTTGTATGTATATGAAATGTGTTGATGCTTTTCTATATGGCATGCTTATCGCTCAGTCCGCAGCGCAGAAAAGATCGAAATTCAAATGTCGATGGCATGACCAGGCGCTACCCTGTAGAGCGTCACAAAGCTATGGTGTTAATGAGTTGCGACTGTGAGGTGGTTGCACAAGTCTTTATATATACATTGGCATATCTCTAAGATGAGCGTGTCTTCCTACAATTCCCGAATGGGTCCCTCAATGAATCTCTCTAAGATGACCAAATCTCTCTGCTTTTCCCAATGAATCCCTCTTAATCTCAGTCGGCTCTGCTCCGTGTGGCCATAATTTTCTGTCCCTCGCTCTCCCTCTCTGTCTATCTCTGTGTCTCTTTGTCTATCTCTTTCCCTTTATCTTAATTTTTCCGTTCTTTGACTTTGTGTCTGTGTCTGTGTCTGTCTCTTGGTTTTTCTTTTTATCTCACATATGTTCTATCCCTTTCTTTAGATCTATTGGTCTTTCCGATTTCTCGTTTTTCTATCCCTATGCCCTATATATTTTTTTTTCTATTTTTTCTCAGTCCCTCTCTCTCTCTTTGTCTGTTTCTCTCATACCATAGGACCTGCTTAGACCAATGTCGTCTGCAGTCGATATACCTTTCATGTTTTTCACGAAAAATGGCAAACTAATTGATGTTTACGAGAACGTACCTACATATATATGTATGTACATACATACATAGAATACACATGTGCATGGGCAAACGCAGGCGTATGTGTGTGCTCTTTGATGTTAAATTTTAAGACATTGTTTATAAATAATTTGTTTCACTTTGTAGACTGCGCCTGACCAATACCAAGCGAGCTGTGTGGGGCACTGGGCCACAGCAGATGAATCATGCTTTCATGCTTATACAACCAAGTGAGAGAGAAAGAGGGAGGGAGAGAGAGAGAGAGAGAGAAAGAGAGAGAGAGATACATGCTGAAGAAGATAGTGAATGAGAGAGAGTGAGAGATGATACGAATTTTATCCTAAGATGTACTTTGATTGCTCCATCAACGATTAGGATTGACTATTCCTCAATCATCCCGCCACGATTCTTTCAATCAATGCGTTCTGTGCTCTAGACTGAACACCGGATAGTTAGCCCTAAACTATTGCTTGCTGGATGGAACCTTCTTATCTTCCAAGCTGATTGAGTGATGTATGTTGATTGATGGTGATGGTATATGGCCCGATTGATTTAATTATTTGATTAAGCTAAAGTTGAGCTGTGAGGACGTGATTGATTGACTGACCAATAGTTTGACCAACTGACCGACTTATTGATTGACTGCAGTAGAAGTAGAATCAGCTGAAAATCAGTTCAAGCATTTCGCTTCCACTCGCTATTTGAGTGAGTCCCCTTTTTCGAGCACAATTGACAGTTTGAACCTTTCACACAAATCCATTCGGCGATTAGCTGTTGCTGCTGCTGTTGCTCAATCTAATCAATTGCCCAGCCAGATAACCTTTGACACGGCAAAGCGAAAAAAAAAAAAACGCTCGAAATTTCCGCCGCACTTGCAATTTCCTGCACAAATCAAATCACGTATAGAAAGTGTGTGCATTCCTAGCCAAAAGGTTTTCGAACGGAAACGGAAATTGTCAAGCACAAATTCCTAATAGCCCTATCAAGTGCTGCGATGCTTGATTGACGCATCAGCCAGCAGAATGTTGCTTACTTTTCAGCGCATTCCCCATTTCGTTCTGATTTTATTCATTGTATACTTTCGCTGCAAATACTCGGAGCTTTTACAAGAGGGACTACCGACTGTCAGATACCCTATACAGTTTTTGTAGATGCGCAAAAAAACCGTTTACTTCAAGTCAATGCACATTGATTGATCAATCAATATATATGTATAGCATATATTAGAATTCTTATATCTCTCTCTACACTAAACATAATTTAGTCATAATCAGTAATATATTAGTCATACAATAGCCATACATCAATTATATATCTGAGAAACATCATACATCAGTCATGTAACAGTCATACATCTGAAATATGTATATTAGTCATACAGTAGCCATACATCAAATATATTTATAAGAAACATCATACATTAGTCATACATCAGTCATCTATCAGTCATACATCAGTAAAATATTAGTCATACAATAGCCATACATCAATTATATATGTGAGAAACATCATACATCTGTCATACATCAGTCGTCTATCAGACATACATCAGACATACGACAGGCCTACATCAATCATATAACATTCATTCTTCAGTCGTACATCATTCGTACGTCAATCATACATCAGTAATATACCAGGCATACATTAAACATGTATCTGGCATACTTTAATCATACATTACTCATACATCAGTCAGGCATTAGTCTGGAATGAGAGACTGATTGATCAGTCTTTGCTTGATTGATTGAACATGTGCCATAAGAGGAAAGTTTTGTATTCATCATCGAGTGAATGACTGCTGACTGATTGAGACTGATTGCCTGAATGACTGACCAACAGATTGACGAGCTAACTCTCGACAAATCAAGTTAATAAATGACTGACAGACTGATCGATAGACGGGCAATGGCTAGAATCGAATAGATCGATAGCACTGACTATTAATGCCCAAGTACATGAGTTTCTTCGCAGCACTTGCAATAGACTGCCAATAATTAGCCGGGAATGTCAAATCACTTGCCATTAATTGACGCAGACAGCGAATAGTCCAACTAATCGTGGCTACAGCTCGCTTTTAGTTTCCACACGAACTGCGCGAGCTGCATAAATTGTCGCTGAAAGCTGTTCGAGAAAGAGGTGTAAAGCGAAATTTGGGAATTGCTTTTTATGAAACCCAACTCTCCCTCTCTCTCTCTCTCTCTCTCTCTCTCCCTCTCTTTCTCACGCTCTTGCTCTCTCCTCTCTGGATGAGGCTGGCGTTGATCGTTGTTTGCTGTTTGTTGATCGTTGAGCGTCTTTGGCTTGGGGTTGTTTTTGTTTTTTTTTTGTTTTTTNACAGATACAGATACAGATACAGATACAGATACAGATACAGATACAGATACAGATACAGATACAGATACAGATACAGATACAGATACAGATACAGATACAGATACAGATACAGATACAGATACAGATACAGATACAGATACAGATGCAGATACAGATACAGATACAGATACAGATACAGATACAGATACAGATACAGATACAAATACAGATACAGATACAGATACAGATACAGATACAGATACAGATACAGATACAGATACAGATACAGATACAGATACAGATACAGATACAGATACAGATACAGATACAGATACAGATACACTTAGGGATGCTGAAGGGCTTGCCGTCAATTGCAATTAAGCTGCTCAAATCAATTACGCGCATTAACAGCAAATTGAATTAAAGCGCGTGAACAACAACAACAACAACAAGATTCAACTATAGCAACAACTACAACATAAAGTGCTTGTTCGTCTCGGAGCTCGAATGTGATAAAAAAAAACAACATAAACAAAAATGCGAAATGTGCATAAACAAAAAATGAGAATTGAAAATAAAAAACAAGAATCAAGTGTAACAATCGAATTCGTAAATAATTAATTAATAACGGCATTTGCATAAAAAGTCATTTCGAATTGGATTTGTTGTTTTCTTTTTTTAATTCTTTTTCTGTTTTTTTTTTTGTGTGTGAGTGTGTGTGTGTGTGTGTTTTTTTTTTAATTATCCTCAGAGCCTCGATGGCGGTTAATTAGTGATAAATATTTATATATAGATGGAAATTTGTGTGAGCGTGTGCTGACGGGGTATATCGATTTCTAAGTGCGCGACATGGCTACTTCCACGGAGTGTGTGTATACATGTGTTCCAGATCTACTTCAGTGGAGTAGGATAGTTAACCTTCTCGGCTCTAGCCGTCTCTCTGCTTGCTCATCTTCTGTCTCTCTTTCCATCAGTCTCTCTGTCTGTCCGCCCGATCTTCCATAAAATTGCATAATTTTTGGCTTAAAGTCATCGATAACTTTGCTGATTAATAAAAATCGATAAAAATCGATTACGAATTCGATATAGTTAACCGTATAGAGCGTATGCGTTGCTTAATTATCTTTCTGATCCCTCGCTTTGCGACGCAAGGGTATCTGCTAGTCGTGCATAGCTCACTGTGAGATTCTTAGTGTTTTTAAGTCCTCTTTATGTTGTAATTCAGTTGTTCTAGGGCCTAGAGTCTTGCGGTCAATTAGTGTTAATGTAAACATAAATATATCTACATATATAACTGTTTGTTTTTCTCCTGCTCTATGTGGAACATTTGTTGACTTTATTAACGACCCTTCAATTGTGTTCGGCTGGTCATTCACTGTGGAGCATATTAGTTGCGTGCAATGCTGTCTGTTTGTTTCATCATTCATAGCCTCACATGTTCCGTCCGTCCGTCTGTCCGTTTTATTCCTCTCGCCGCCTGTTCCTCCCAGTTTGCACATCCATTCGTGTCTTGGCCTGTCAGTCCATTCGTTTTGTTCCTTCGCATCTGTTCAATCGTTTGTCTTTCCGTCCGTCCATCCGTCCGTCCGTCCATTTTTTTTTCCGTTGCTCCATTGTATTTTCGTACTTCTGTCCGTTCATTTGTCATTTCTTCCGTCATGCCTTCTGTCCCACTATCCGTCCGTTCGTCCGTTAGCCCATGCCTCTCCGTCTCCGCCCGTCTCCCAGTCTCTTTCTTTATCCGTCTCGCCTTTGCTCGAACTCGAGCCTACGCCGCAGCGAGCCACTTTTGATCACTAAATTATTAATGGGATTCTACAAAGTAGATGTGGAATGATGTTGAATAATTAAATTGCTTAATATGCCAAAGTGGGACT